TCCCCTCCTTGTAATGGTAAAAAAATATAATTTTCTAATTTTGCATTTTATTTTTTAAAATATTATATGTATTAAAATCAAATTTATCAAGAATTGGCTAATGAAAATATCATGATCAGAGTAAAAAAACAAAATAGCCTGGGCCAGCCACTGAAGCATAATGTGATCGCAATAAATATAGAAAGAGGAAAGGTTGATTTGCAGTGAAAGCTTTGGTTCCTTGCAGAAAATTCAAATCCCCACTCCATCCATTACACCTTTCAATTTTAAATCCTTCGTTTTGTTTCATTTTTATTCTTTTTTTTCCCTCTCTTTCCTTATTTTGTTGTCCCTTGATTTGTGCACTAAAAGAAGAAAGAGGTGCCAAAGTAATTTCATGGTTATTAACCGGTCGATTCAAGTGGTAAGTAGTTTGATTTTTAATTCAAATTTTTATGTATACAGAAAATTACTGTTTAGAGACTCGTCCACCAAAACTAAAGGTACGATCGACCACTTCCTCTTCGATTATGATAAATATTTATTTATTTTTACCTCTCTCGTTGATAGCATCGTATTCTCATATCTTAATTTCAAGTGCATGTTTTCTTAGCATTTTCAATGAAAAAAAAAAGTGTCGTTCTTTTAAGTGACATTGCTTCGAACATAGATTATGAGGGTCAATTTTGATTTGGGGAAAATAATTCGATCAAAGAATGCATTGGCATAATTCATCATTAGCATATCTCACGCCTTTTTTTTTACGATGACAACTGATGAGATGAAGGGTTCAGTAAGACTATCACAACTACCTAAGGAAAAACATATAAGAATTTGATCCTGACATGGTAGGATCTTGTAGCATGGATTGCACATTTTATTTTTACTTTCTATAATTTTGGAAAAAGTTTGGTGACGTTATGTTATATTAAAATATGAAATATTTTAAATTATAATAAAGATTTATAATCACAATCGTAAATTAAGTACATAATTATAAAATTTTCATATAATCATTGAAACAAAATTACTAGTAATTTAAGATCACATAAGAACCAAACAAGAAAAGATTAAAAATCTAACCAAAAAACTCGAACAAAGATAAATACAAACAAATCAACAAAAACAAAATTAGACAAGCGACTGACCAATAAAAGAAAACTAGGATTTTATAAATGAACTTGGAGCAGTTTTAATTGCCATTCAAGAGTCATCTATTATTGTGGACATATATATAAATGAATTATGCAATTATAAAGAATAACACAAAATTAAGTGATCAATTATATAACATGCGTCATAGTTATTAAATAGTCATAAAATATTGTATAGATATCATAAGAAATGACGGATTCATGAATATTTTTTTAGGGTGGAGATAAAATTATAAATACTTAAAAGACTGGTCTAATATTCAATTGATATATAAAGAGGTAATGGTCTCTAATAAATGGGTTAACTTGTATTTTTTATTATCTTGTTAAAAAATTTAAAAGAAACTTATTTTATGGAAAAATCTCAATCTTTTTAATAATCTCCGACATTAAATTCAAATACGCTCCCATGAATTTAATATCTTATTCAATGAATCACATAGAATGTATCTTAATAATACAAATCCAATAAAGGTTACTTCAACTTGCCAGCGTCATATCAGGAAATTCATAGAAATGAGCTCCATGAAAAAAGGTGTACGAGTATTGAGATGAATAAACTCGATTGTACAAGCCATTGCCATGAGAGCGAGGGAAATCTGCTAGGGACAATTACCATGTAAAGTATATTAAATTGATTATTTTATAGTGGTGTTATATATGTCTACAAGAAAGTTTACAGGGTTAAACAACATGATTTCAGATCATTGTTACAACAATTAATAAATAAGATGATTAAATAATAATGCATAATCGTCGTTGAAAATAAAACAAAAGGAATCAAAAAAAGATTTTGGTAAGAACAAAGGAGAGATGGTGATTAATGAAGCTTCCTCTTTGTTCACTGTTTTTTTGGGTATATAATTTGCCGAATTTCGTGCTTGTTTCATGGTGATGGCCTGGCTCCAACCCCATGCAAAAGCTTTATTATTAAACCAATACCCAAAGAGAATTAAAAAAAAAAAAAGCTCCTTACTAAATAAATATATAGATGGGTAAACAATATATTTAGTCACTCAATTATTCATACGGTTTCATTTTGGTTATTCAATTATTATTTTTCAAAATCATCACTACATTTACATTTTTATTTTTTTATCATTCGTCATTAAAATTTCAGGATTACTGACGTGATATTTTTTTAAAATTTTATTAGAGATGATGTGATATTACCTTATGATGACATATCAATGTTATCGTTACTTTTTTAACGGCGGGTGATCAAAATAGAATAAAAAAAATAAATTAAGTGACTTTGAAAAACAAAATAATTGAAGGACTAAAACAAAATCCTGAGAATAATTAGATGACTAAACATGCAGTATATCTTAAATAACTAACTCAATTTCTTATGCCGATTCGATCGATATCCCCAACCGTCTTGACTAGCCTGCCTGTTTCTATCTAAATTAATGTATTTCATCATTGTTTTTAACTAATTAAGAATATTCAATTTTTTACATTATTATCTCAATGATTATAAAAATAATTATTATTTTTAGATATCTTAAATTTAAGTATCAATAACTACAACATAAATGATTGAACGTTTATTATCAAATAATTAAAATTATTTATAATATATATTATTTTATAATATCTTTTAACTTAATCGATTTTTTACATTAATCTAGAATTATCACCATAATTTCAAGCTTTACTTTATGAATATTCTACATTGAGAAAATACTATAAATTAATTGGGAACAGAATGATGACCATCAGTTCTTTGGATTATTCTGCATGATTTTGATCTGGATTTATTTGAAATTTTCTAGATTATTACAAAGTAATTATCCAAGTTGTTGATTGTTTGCTGTCAACAGAAAATACACTTTGGGATTTTTTTTATTAAATTAAATTTCAACCTACTACAAAAATAATAGAGCTAGGTTTAAGGTCAACCGGGTTGGCCTGCTGTTCTAATTCATATGAAAACACTGGTTTCACACAAATACAATCCCGTCGAAAACAAACCGCTCGACTTCGTTGAATCTTCAATAATCTCAAAATACCAATTTCATCTAAATGAATAACACCAGTATCCGATTTATTGATCGATTAATTCAGATCGAATACTGTAGAGGTAAGGATAATCCTTCCAACCCAATTTATTTCATTCGCAATCGCCAAGATTTGAACCATAACCTTACTTAAATAATTTAGTGCTTCATCCCATTAGAGTATCTGATTGTTAATGTAATAGTAATATATATTTACAATTTGATCTAAATATCTTAAATATATTTCACATAATATTTTAAACAAACACTAAACACATATACTAACAGTTAAATTGACGAAATGACTTGCTCGATATAATTAAAATATTTTAAAGTTTTAAAGCTAATTTAATGTAATAGTAATATGGGTACTGCAGAGGCAATGTCAACCCTTCCAATTTAATTTACTCCATTTGTAATCGTTAAGATTCAAACATTTAATCTTAAAATTATAATCGTTAGTGCTCGAACTTATAATATCTAAAAACGATGGCGATTCTTTTAACCACAAACAAAATTAATTCGTACTTATATGCAATAATTATATTAGTAAAAGTAATGGAAATAATCTATGGAAAAGAAGTCAATAAAAATGGTTAACTTGGCAATAAATTGGCATAGCTTTTAAGAATTGGGAGGTAAAGTTATAGAAAATGAAAAGGAGTCGTTAATAATTTTCTATAGATAAACCCTAGGTATATGAAAGGTAAAGAGGGGAGACATTGTAATACACGTAATTCTAAAATCGCACATTTAATCTTATTTTTAAAATATTAATTAATTATGAAAATAATTACGACAAATCAGAAGTTGAAATTTTCCATTATAAAACAAGATTTTCTTTAAAAAGGAAAAAGGTGGGGAAATATGCATGGGGCGTGTAAAACAATCCCAGCGGCAGCGGTAGCGCTCTCTCTTTCGCTGCACGCATTACGACACCAACTTTGAGGAGGTGTTTGATTCAAGGTCATGTTTGGTTGGTCGGAAATCTCATTCCCGGTAATGTTTTATTATCAATAGTAAATTTTTTTAGGTATATTACCGGGAATGTCATTACCTCCCTTCCTTTAGGTATTGTAATATTACCGGCGTTTTGGACTAAAATGCCCTTAAATTTTTATTTTTTTCAAAAATATCATTCTTCTGTCATTAAATAATAAAAATTCTACGAAGGTTCAATTACAAATTTATCTTAAATTATTTTAGATTTACAAAAAAAATCTATAATTAAAATTTTATATGAAATTTAGGGGTTAAAAAAATTTACCCTTTTATTAAACATTTTTTATGTTTTTAATTTTGTAAAAAAAATTATATAAATATTATGAATTTAATTTTTTAAAGAAAATATATAAATATTTTACGATTTGTAATATTATACAATATATAATAAAGATAATTTGGTCAAATATACATTCCAATAATCTTTTATTCCTTTAATCAAACACGGTAATCTTACATTCCTGCTAAACCAACCAAACATAAAATATAACATTCCCAGTAATCATATTCCCTCGTAATCTTTTATTCCCACTAGTAATCTTACATTCCGTAAACTAAACACACTCAACGTATCTCTTTTTACCAACCCCATTTTCACTCTTCTTTTTAGTAAGTATTTTAATTATAGAAATTAGGTGTTTTAATTAAAAAAAATTAATTAATAAGAAAAACGATAGGATTAGGAGAGTTGAATTGGGTGCGGCTTTTAATAACAAACACGAGATTCCTTGCTGGAGACAAGCCAACCCCCACGCCAAGAAGAAGAAGAAATTAAGCATAATAAGGCGTATCTCTCTTGGACTGATTCCTATATCTCAAACAAAGGGGTTACTATAAAGAAGGACGAGTTGTGTTATGATTCTTCTTCACCCTATTATCATCCATTCTTCATTGCTTGATTTCCCTTCAAAGTTTACTGCTTTCTCTCCAGAATTTTGCTTCTTCTTTTTTCATTAATGGCTGTTCAAGCCCAATATCCTTCCAATATCCTCCTCTTGAACAGGTTTCATTCTTTTTCTTCCATCTTTACCGTTTCTTATCATAGTTTTCTCCTCCTCTTTTGTTGATTTATGGGTTTATATTTTCAGATGCGGACAAGAGGAGCACGAGTTTCCACTGCAGCAACAAACAGGAGGAGGAAATTTTATCGATCAACCTCATATGTTTTTCAACAATAATATCAGCAACAACGATAATCCGAGGAAAAGTGGAAGAGAAGTTGCAATAACAATGCCAATCTATTCATTCTCCTTGCAAACACAGCCGTCACAGTTGATAGACCTTTCTCAACTTCACCAACCAAATGTAGTATCCACCGGCCTCCGGTTATCTTCGGGCGACCAACAACAAAACTTACAGCAAACTCAAAACCATTGTTATCCTCAACAACAACAATTAAGTCTTCTTTTCGATGATTTGGGTACTCAAATCCAATGCCAGAGAGAAGAACTAGACCAATTCCTTCAAGCCCAGGTACCAAGTTGTCTATTTTATGAACTGCATGTTTTCTTTTTCTTTTTTGTCGGGGGAAAAAGTTCAACTTTCGGTGTTCGTTTGTTTTAAGGGAGAGGAATTGCGACGTGGCTTGGTGGAGAGAAGGCAAAGGCACTACCGTGCGCTACTGAGGGCAGCGCAGGAATCGGTGGAGAGGAGGTTGAGAGAGAAAGAAGCGGAAGTGGAGAAAGCAAAGCGTCGAAACGCCGAGTTGGAGGCACGCGCGGCGCAAGTCAGAGTGGAGACGCAGGTTTGGCAGGCGAAAGCAAGGGCGCAGGAGGCGAAGGCGGCCTCGTTACAAGCGCAGCTCCAACAGGCTATAATGAGCAGAGGGGCCGCCGTGGTGCACGATAGCAGGAGAGGAGACGAGGGGCTGAACTGCACGAGTGGGGTGGAAGGGCAGGCGGAGGACGCCGAATCGGCTTACGTGGACCCGGACCGGGTTGTTGCGAGGGGACCGGCCTGCAAGGCGTGTAGGACATGTGTAGCGTCGGTGGTGATGCTGCCGTGTCGGCATCTTTGCCTGTGTACAGAGTGTGATAGAGTGGCCCAAGCCTGCCCGGTTTGCCTCACCGTCCGGAATTCTAGCATTGAGGTCTTGTATTTCCCTTGAAAGTTTTCCTTTTTTTCAAAGGTAAAAAAGAAAGATGAAAATAACCTTCGAGTATAATAACAATTTGTTTACCTTTTTAAAAAAAATTAAATCTTTGTTGTCTTAATTAATTAATGTCAAGAATGATAATTGTTTTTCCTAATAATTTAAAATTTATGAGATAATATTTTTCAAAAATAATTTTTAATTATTAACAACATACACTTGCTCGAAACTCAAACTTTGAGCTTATTTTGGCACTTTTGTTAATTTGGCTGCATTGTTTTAGACAACATCTTGTGTCAATTTAGCACTTGTTTTCTTCCTTTTGTATTTCATATGAAACTTCCCAAATAGCTTAATGCCAAACAAATTCTTCAAAAAAGAAAAGAAAAGAAATAACCATATTAACCATATCTATCTAATAGTAATCATAACTCAAAGGCTTAATTAAAGGACTCAAAACTGAGATGTTATATGCAAATCCCACCTTTTTTTTTTATGGGTAAATTATGTGGATAATCTTCTATGTTTAGGGTCTAACCGACTTTAGTTACCAATTTTAAAGTTAAGGAGAATAGTCCCTAACGTTATTTATACATTCGATTTTAATTTCCCAGCCATTAATTTTTGTTAATCCTTTTGTTTAAGTCCCTAACATGGATGAGGGACTAAAATCGAACGAGAGTTAACGACTAAGAGACTAAAATCGAACGGATTGAGAATATTATGGACTAATATCCAACAAATTGATAACATTAGGGACCATTCCCTCTTAATTTTTAAATTGGCGATAAAAGTCGGTCAGATCAAAAACATAAGAGACTATCTAGATAGTTTATCCTTTTTTATTCATATATGAACAGTGAACACACATCTTCAAGTTGAAGCCATCTCATATGCGTTATTGTTGGGGCTTGGTCCATTCCTTGTACTACTCAAGATGCTGATACATACTATATATCAAAGAATGCTAATCGCATACCAACAACATTCACGTTCAATTGGTTACATTCACGTTAAGTTAGTTTATGAGATAAGATACTATATAGTAAATTTATTAAATGAAATCATAAATTCAAATCTTGATGTATTTGGAATAATTGATCAATAAATCGAACACTAATGATTAAATAGAAAAACAATGTTAATGGAATGTCATCTATACATCCATTTCATCAAAACAATATTTCTAGATAAGATCCCACGATTATATACGATATCTCGAGAGAGAACCCTTTTCATCGGATGAATCTGACAAAGCAAAACCTTTGGGGTTATCTTTACTTTATTCATGGATTGAAGTGAGAAAAGAAATAGGAAACTTCTCCCATTTTTTTTTATGCCAAATCAATTATTGAAGGAGAAATCAATAAATGAAAAACGGTAGAGCGTGAGGAGCAGTCACATTGGCTTAGTTTCCATGTTGTTACTTTGAAAAAGTGGGTGGGGATTGATTTGTCCCATACTTTTGTTAAATCTTTAATTGATAATTAGGCCAAATCTGATCTTTTTAACCCTTTAAATCCGGGTATACATTTCCAAGTTCATCGACGGAGTAATTAATCTTGCTTTCTTCTTTGAAATACATGCCATCTTTGATTTCAGCTAAAATATTTCTTGTGATGATGTCGCGACTAATTGAGACGACGTTTATTTGTAATCGTTTTGATCATTTTAATTTTGAGCTCTCATATTAGATTTAGATATGTGATTTGCGTTCATAGATGATTTTCTCACGATGTTTGATTCTGATTTACTTTTGTCGGTGGTCTTTCAGTAGTTTTACCTCTGTTGTGGTTCTTTTGTCAATGCAGTTATGATCAGTTCGTATCTATCTTTTGTCAGAATTTTTTTAAGATGAATTTTCATAATTTCCTTGTGTGGATCTAAAATGACTACTTTATTGTGTCAATCAATATAGTAGAACATCTTAATTATATATTTATTTTATGATTCATCATTATAATTTTAAATATTTTTTTAATAAAATTAGTTGTTCTATTGTTGGAAAAACTTAAACCTAAGACTTTATTCTTTGAATATAATAAGCTTGTTTTTGCGGTATAGATTGGATCACAAGCATCACCAAATTGATTCTACTATTAACTGAGTTTCAAACTTAGCAGATAAGCTGGAATCTGATTGTGATCACATGCTCATCACATTGCATTGTCCAATAAAATTTGCCTTTTATATTTTCCCTTTGCTCACACATTCTCAAACTGGGTCATAGACTGATCCCAAGATTAGAGTTTAAGAGGCTCAATGTTTTCAGTGAGATCAAAACAGGGTTTGTTTTTAGCCTTTTTAATCCCTTGAGAAATATCTAGTGAGTGTGATGAACTCGTCAATGGCTTCAACGTCTAGACCACGAGACCAGAGGGACCATTAGTCAAAATGGTTGTTTTCAGGGCGAAGGAAATTAAACAGACAACATATGAAATCTCAAGGCTGTCAAATGGGACAACATATACATGACAATATTTATATAATTGTGTATATGCTCGCATGTTCTCATCAATTGCTCCGCCCCATGCCTTTGAAAACCAACTCAAATGAAAAACTAGTACGAGGACAATGTAGATGTACCGACAGATGGTCTTATAAATAATTTTCTTTGGGACCAAACGTAAAAAAAAGGGGTCTATGTCGATTGATAAAAACTTGATATAACTAATTAGATCATATACTGCTTAGGCATATCATGGGACAACCCTCTCAATTTATTTATTTTTATTATAATATCAAGATTTAAATACTTGACTTTGTTTAAAGAATTTAACACTTCATCCCGTTAGACCAATTGATTGTCGATTATAGAACTCGTTTTTAACGGTAAAAATGTTTTTGATTGAACTTTGAAAAAATTGCTGAAACGTGAGTGAAAAAATTGAAGTAGGGTGAATGCTACATTGAACGTTGAAAGTCGTCCAGAATACATGACGACTTTCGGAAGACGGTTGAACCACCCAACGTCTTCAATTCTTTATTTCCAGCAACATCCGATGTCTTTTTCTCCGACGTCTTCGAGAGGCCAACCATAATACTACGGTTAGCTATAAATCAAACATAGAGAGAGCTCGGTCATAATATGATTAAAAGTATAAAAAAATCAGGTACTCGATCTCGGTCATAATATGATTAAAAGTATAAAAAATCAGGTACTCGATCGACTTTGATGTCCATTATAGCATTCATCTTATTTGACAAAAATAAAATCTCAACCACTTCAAATGAAAAAAAAAATCTTATTTTTCATTGCCTCATCCAATAAATTTGCCCTTTTTAACCATTTATTTTCAATCAATTTTATTTTAAATATTGTTCTTTTGAAAGTGGAAGACAGACATTGTTGTCCCTTACTTGTACATCGTTATTATTGTTATCACCAAATCATCCTTTTGAAAACTTCTTGTCATAAAACACACATCTTGATAGATAACAATAACAATGTTAGGCTTTGGTCCTCTCCACGAATAAAATAAGAAAAATGTATGGATATTTGATCATATCAATTAGGGACTAAACGTGGGCTAGGTTTTAAAGGAGCAGTATGAGTTGTTTTGGAAAATTAAATCCAATGGCTATTGAGGGACATAGATAATGGCTTGAGGGGGCCTTTGATATGATCGCCAGCTTGACAAACATGGGACATGAAAGAGGATCGTAATGCGTGTTTTTTTGTACTAGTTTACTTTGTCTACCAGTAAATTCAGTTTCGAATTTGTTGTTTTCTCGTAAAAATTTCTGTCATAAGAAGTAATCAGCATGAACACTTAGCAATTTCATTCAAGAGATATCTATATTTGGAGTTTAATGTTTGGTAATAAAGAGATTCACGAGCAAAGTTGCGTAGCAGACTACCCCCATTTCATTAATTAAAAGTCCAAAGTTAGAGTATGATGGGTGACAGATGCTTCACTCAAACCGGTTGGTGGGACGATTGTTATCTTTAGATGTTTTAATCCACACACATTATTTGCGAGGATGTTTGAACGTTAATTTTTAAATGATTGAGAGTTTGTCGAACTTAACTTATATTACTTTGTAACCATCACACACTAATAAAAAAATGAATGAATTTTGAATCTTAAAATAATATATCTTTTTAATTAATCAGGGATAAGTACAAGGTAATATTTGTTCAAATATAATTTTCAATCATTCAATATTGGACGTTTATAACCTTAGCATTCATGGTACTCGAACTTAAAACATGAAAGAATTGACCATAAAAGTCACTTAGTTTATACAAAATAACAAAGTTGAAAAAGCTATAGGAGTAATAACGCATTTCACCCAATATAATGGGGAAAAAGAAGTCAATAAAGAGGAATCGTTATGCTTTTCTAATTTCAATCAATTGTAATTTAAAATTGTAAACTTCAAATTTTAATTTCAAAATATTAAAAACTTTAAACTTATAAATTTTTGAATCAAGACGAGTCGAGTTTAACAATATTTAAATATGATCTGACTTGATGAAAATTTTATATTATTTTTAATTTAAGTAAATTCATGTACATTTTATATATAATATTATTTAAATTTAATTCATCTAAAAATGACTTACCTTTTACTATTGAAAACTCCGATTCTCATTTCTATCTTTTTAATGCCTTGACGATTAATTATTATTTAATAATGGAAAGATTAATTTTGTCATCATCCATATAATTTATTTGTTTAAAGATGGTATTTTCATGGCTTCCCTGCTCAACACGTGGATGGGCATTGCCAAACCCATGTTGTTGGTGTTTCACAATGGGCTCCCTTACCATTTACATTGCTCATGTCTTCTTTCCTATCATTATTATACCCTTTATTATTTAAAAAAAATTTGTTCAAATTAATGAGGATTGGTCTAATTTGATATCTCTTAAGTAAGGTCTTAGGTTCAAGTCTTTGTGTAAGCAAAAATTTTCAGCTGAAAGATTTACCCACCATAATCAAGTGTGTGACCTAAGTCGATCTAGATTATTATCAAGACAAAACCCATTGTGAAACACTTGAGTTCTTACGATTGTGAGTTACTCTAAATTTATCCGAGTCGATTCAAATTATCAATACTCTAATTCTTTAGAGCGTTCTAAGTAACATAACTTAAAACAAGAAAGATTGTGAGTTACTTGAATTTTACTTAGTCAAAACTTAATTAACACTCTAATTGAATGAATTTATCCCAAATTCCTAACCAGCTGAAGCGAATTGAAAAATAAACCGCTTGGCAGAGTTTTAAGTAAACTAAATTACCAAGTATAATTTCAACTGAGCCCTTACGATTCCTCAGACTACTCAAAAGATCAGTTAAAGAGAAGTGGTACCTTTGTTATCATCGGTGTGAGTTATGTAAAAAAAAATATTAATGACAATTTGTTTATTATGATTTAATTTTTAAAGTAAGTTAATGTTTTTAAGGTTAGCCTTGTGGATTTAGAGGCATATTTTTTTACTGAAACAAACATCAAATTTACATTCAAGAGACTAAAAAAAGATTGAATTGAAAATTTTAAAGTTCAACAGTCGTCGATGATGACGGTCAGTAATGAATATCAACGACGGTGATGAGTGATAGCTGACGACAAGAGATGTTACTCGATTATAAGTTAAATTAATAATTGATCTAAAGTTTATAAGTTAAATTAGTATTTTACCTAAAGTTTAGGAGCCAAAATAAAAATTAGTCTCTCTTCCACTAACGTGCTACATCATTAAACGAATCATACTTAACATCCTAGTGATCAAATGAAGTAAGTGACCAAAACGTTAAATTTTCACAATTGATTGCTAAAAGTAAAGAAAAGCAAAACAAAAGAAGCTACTATAATAGTTTGCCCTAAAAATAAGTTGAAAATGTGAAAATATAAATATAAATGAAAAAACTAAAGTGGTTGAAACTTGAACATTGAGGTCCTCCTTACTAAAGCAAGCCCGATTTCGGGAGACAGGCGTGGTACAAAATGATGATTACACGTGGCGGCTGATGCCTTGCAGTTTGGGGTAGAATCAAATCTTTTATTTTCACATAGGTTAATGATATTGTCCACGTGTTAATATTATATTAACCGCTAACCTCTACTGTCCGGTACCATTATATTATTCACGCGCGAACTGCTTCTGTCTTAAATAACCTCTAATGTTAAGAGACATGATATATCGCAATTGTCTTTGATATGATCGCAACCGTCAATTCTTAGAATGAGCAATACTGTATCGCTGCTCTTGACACCGTCAAAATTGAATATTGCGTAAAGTGTTTTGTAGTATTACGAGGAGCTTCGTGTAAGAACGATGGACGTGTTGTTGCGGTGATTAGCACAAAGCCACACGTGTACAGCGTAAAATGACGGACAGGAGACGGTAGCTGTGGTTAGAAAAACGATCAAAACGCCTCGGAACAAGTGTCTTTGTTCAAAGTAAAAGAGTCATATGATTATTACTCAATTATATGTTTATTTTTTTAATAGTTATCATAAATGTTGAATTTCAAGGATGTTTAATTTTTTATTAAATATATGATAAATTATATGTTTAATACTCAATTATCACTTTTATTCTATTTTATTAAATCTAATAATTGATTATTACTATTTTATTAAAAATAGGATAAATCATATCAAAACATTCTACATTAGAGATAAATGCATTCATTTTTTAATCATAGTAGGATTTTAAACTCCTTTGAGGACAACCTATCTTCATGTTATTTTAATTAATTTTTATGTAAATCATAATAATTTTTCATATCATTATATATCAGTATTGTCTAACCAATCATATCAACTAGTTAAAATTTTTGAACTTGTAAACTTCAAGTTTATCGTAACGTATGATTCAATATCATTCAAAATATATAAACATCTAGTTTACTATACCATGTGTATAAATCTCATTTATATAAACTTATGAAATTTTGATTTACCATAAAACATGATTTAATTTTATCCAAAACTTATAAATTTATGATTTGTTATAACATGTGATTCAATCTCAATTAAAACTTATAAACTTACGATTCATCATGACATATGATTAAGTCGCATTCAAAACTTTTGGTTTATTAGAACATGTGTTTCAATCTAATTAAAAAAATTTAAACTTCTAGTTTACCATAACATATGATTAGAATAGATAAACTTTTGTTCTATCATAACAAGTGATTCAATCCAATTCAAAAACTTATTGGCTTATCATAACATGCGATTTAATCTGATTCAAAATTTTTAAACATCCGGTTTACCATAAAATACGGTTCAATCTCTTTCAAATATTGTAAATTTTTAGCTTACCATAACATAGAATTCAATCTCATTCGAAACTTGTAAATTTATGATTTATCATATCATGCAATTAAAGCTCATTCATACAAACCGATAAACTTTTGATTTACCATTACATACGATTTAATCTCATTCAACACATTCAAAACTTATAAACTTTGGATTTACCATAACATGTAATTGAATTAAGATACATATATGAACATCAGCTAGGAAAAAGAGATATAATCCATCGAAAAGTAGTATAGAATATACTTATATGAGATTGTAGTGTATTGACGTGATTAAAAATACGATTTTCGACGCGAATAAGTTATTTTGAGTAAACCTCGTTAATTAGGTAATAATTAAACCAGAATTAATTAAAAAAGAAGAAGAAGGTTTTACCTAAGGGCGTTAGTGGTCCTAGTTTTGATGTTTTGGGAAATGGGGCCGGCGAAGCTGAAGAAGGGATGAAATTGAAAACGACATAACATTTGAGGAAAAAATAGCAAAAGGGAGAAAGTGACGTTATACGTTGAGCAAAGAGTAATCGAAGCCGTTGATTCTCTCTCTTTTCTTTTTTTGGGTTATACTATGTAAAGAAGAAGATTATTGTTTTATAAGTATTTTAAGAAACTAAAATACAGAGTTGGGTAAGTTAAAGTCTTACTTGCATTCATGGCGCGTGCTTATCTTCTTCGTTCTCCCCGGCTCCATCAATGGTGCCCACTAGTTCCCTAGCCTCCTACTCCAACAACGGCCCCAGTAAGTTCACCCTCGACCAGCTCAAGAACACTAACAATGTCATCACCATTTTGCGTAGGAGGTTAAATGGACGTCGTGTCTTTCATACATTTTTATAAAGATACCATGCATCTTCTCAATTAACTGTAAATATTATCATATTTATAAACGAATAAATTTGATATTTGGGAATTATTTTTAATAGTTATCATAAATGTCGAATTTCAAAAGCAAATATGCATCTACCGGGCGGTAAGTGGTTTTAGTTGATGAAAACAAAGGAAAGTGGTAACAGAAATATAGTTGGTAAAGAGACATCAAAATTGTATCAAGAGAGACCCACCAAGGTCTATAACAGGAAAATCAACTCTTCATAACTGTAGGAGTAGTGGTCGTTACATAACGCGCGAGTGGGCCCTTCCTCAGACATAGACGTTGTAATATGGTTGTGTGGGCCTTTGTTACTTTGGAAAAGCTCCAAATATTATCGTTCGTTACTATGTTATGCGTCGTATTTTATTTTTAATTTTATATTAAATTATAATTCAAATTTATTTAAACATTACAATTTATATAAAATATTATCTTAATTCAAATAATTATTGTCTTTGAAAAGTCTCTCTAGTAAGTTTTTTAAATAAAATTTAAAATTTAATTTTTGTATTGTTTTAAAATAAAGTTACGATTATCAAATAATTCCCTTTTTATTAATTTATTGCCAGAAAATAATAAAATATGTTGATGAGGAATTATCAATAATAGTAAAAAAATAAATTTCAAATTGAATATAATAAATATATGAAAATCATATTATAATTGACCCTTTGAGAATCTTGTTCCCCGTGTACGAGATTGGGTTCCCGTTTTTGCCCTCTCATCTTTCTCAAATGACAAAATTGCCATTTCATTTCATTTTCACCGATTATTATTATTATTATTTTCAGAATTTGACAAAACGCATTTCAGGCTTGCATGATAGTAAAATAGATTTTCTTTATGCAAAATGTATATATTTTATGAAAAGTAAGTGAAATTGGTTTTCACTAGAAAAATGACATGGCTCTTAGGTAGTTTTGAGTAAAAGTCAGTGGCAGATCCGTCAAAGCGACCACAAGCATTAACCGGGAATGATTTCGAGCTTATTATATTAAGCAAATGTATCCGTTTGGACGGATATCCCTGAAGCCTGCCGTTGCTTGCAATCTTGTTCTCAACAAAGAACAAAACTTCAACTCATAAAATCTCTCTCTCTCTCTCTTCCTTCAAAGATTGCACCTTTTCTATAAACAGAACCAAATGGAATTCTCTGGACCTTCAAGGAAGCCTTGTTTCATTGAAGAAGACGATGGCTTGGCTTCCCTTGCAGCTTTGGAGCCAAATGGGTTTTTTTCAACACCCTTTTGTTTCTCCAGGAGGAGCAGTTTAAGGAACCTCTCTTCTTCTTGTTTAGTTTCTTCTCCAAGGTTTTTTGATGACAGATTTGAAGATCGTCAGCCCCATTTCTTGGATGCTTGTTTCCTTTGTAAGAAATCTCTCAGGGGTAACAATGACCTCTTCATGTACAGGTCAGTCCTTTTATTCCATCTTCATATTTTTTTTAAGTCACAATGTTTCTTAGATTGAAAGATCAGAACTTTAGAGAGATCCAATGAATTGTGTTGCAGAGGGGACACGCCTTTCTGTAGTGAAGAGTGCAGACAAGAACAAATCGACATGGATGAAGCCATAGAAAATAATAGGAACCTATGTTCATCAATGAGAGCTTTGAGAAAGAAAGATCAAAGGAAGTCTGAAGATTACCCCTTCCGAACAGGCACTGTTGCAGCTGCCTGAAGGAAATAAAACAACATATATACCTGAATAAATGGTGATCCATGAAGAACAGAAGGCTATCTTGAGGGGTTCTTCTGGGTTCTTTTTTATCCCCCTTTTCTCCTTCAAGAAAACAATATATACTAAGACTTTAACTTTGAATGTTGTCCTAACTTGCGGGTCTGTATGAGAAACATGTTTTTTTTTTCTTGACAAATACTGATGCATAAATGAAAAGAATGGTGTGAAGAGAAACGGTGAGAAGAGTGGTTTTTTTAGGCTCTTCTTGGGTATATTTCTGTACTAATTTGTATGGTAATGTAAATGGAACATAGTAAAGATGTTACCCTTGTGTTGCTTAACATGCTCATTAAAAGAGTGAAAGGAAGACAAAGTGCTTTTGTTTGTATTTTTCTGGTGCAATGCTTTTGCTTCTGAGTTGAGCAACCTTTTGACTATTTTGTTTAAAGAAGGAAATTGCATTAGAAATGTAAGCCCAACTTTTTGACTATTTTGTTCAAAGAAGGAAATTAGTTCGGATGGTACCGGAAAGAAATCGAAGTCCGCTCTTACGTTTCGGGCTTGGGCTCCAATTTTTGAGGTCATGTCCAAAGCCTGTAGCTCATTTAACATGAAGTCAAATGACCATAATAACACCCAAACATGCAAGGGAAGGATTTAGACATGTCACGTCAAACAAAAGTTATTTAGGAAGCTTAAAGAGTAGCTCATTTAACATGAAGTCAGATTACACATCAAATACCAACTATATCATTACTGCATAATATGTGTTCTTGATGAATTGCCCTATTTCCATGTATAAGAGACTTGTATACATTTTTAGTTTTGTGTTGACGATTCAAAAATCACAAGATTTTATATCTGGAGCGGACCCGTTCAATTAGGAGCCAAGGAATTATAAGTACCACTCAAGAAGAGAGAAGTTAAAGTAAACTTGTAATTCCCGACCTAAAAAGTGAACAACATACATCTTAAGTTGACATCATGTAAATTAATATTGTCCAATACCAATGGGCATGCAATGCACCAGGTTGATTAATACTCATATCCCAGTGTGTTGGGTTTGTCAAATACATATAAATTGGCACTCTTTTGTTTTGGTGTGTTCCAAGTTGAAATGTTTGCTCAACTAATAAATGCGATGGAGGATTTACCTTTGACTGTTACTCTACCAAGAAAGAGTCCCGGCGCAGAAATTCAAAATTAAGAATTGAAATTTATCGTAGTTTGTTTAAAAACATAGAAAAGAACCTGAAAGGCTGCCCAACTATACCCATCATTTGGAAGCATTATCTTGTCTTGGGTAGAAGTAATCAAAATGGAGAGAGTAGAAAACCTTTGTAAAAAGGTCAGGTCATGGATCGAATATGATTAAAATGCCAAAACGAAGTCGTTTTGTTTTAGTCTTCCACAACTGTTCTCAAGACGACGTAGTTTTAGAACATATAAAAATATAGATTTTCCCTTTTTCCTTGGTTTCTTTATCTTTTTCATCTCTTTCTTTAGTTGTCTTTTGCAGGAGTCGTTCACAATCCATCGTCGACTACTACCACAGGCGTCGTATACTGTTGGAGTTTCTTGCTGGCCTACTACCACAGGCATCATATACTGTTGGAGTTTCTTGCTGGCAAGGACAGGACAAAGCTACGACAGTTGTGTGTGGTGTTCACTTTGGGAGTCAATGAGCAAGAACTCAGGTACATGTCCTCTTGCGCACTAATATGGTTAACAAAAAAAGAAAAAAGAATTTGGATCTTTATAAACCTACTGTCCAATTCGTGGCACTTGGCATGTTAATACAGGGCCAACCTTACCTACCAAGGTAGTTGCATCTCTCCATCCTTCCTCGTCCCCACACTGCATATTCCTTCTTTATCTAACTTGTATCTAGTTTAATAATAAAGTTGATGGACCCAATGACTTCAATAATAAAATGTTAAAATAAAAAATTATTCTTCCTAAAGTTTCTGAATTTAAACAATTGTGTTTACAAATTGTATGTGTTGTCAATAAGTTAATAAAATTGTGAACATATATTATCTTGCAATCATCTCATATTATTAAAAAACTAATAATAAGGTTGATCAGAGATGGATATAAGGGAGTGGGTGGGGACAGTTGTGTCACCTAAAATTATTCGTTCATCCCTGAGGTTGATATATAGATCTTGTTTTTTTTAATAGTATAAGATGATTATAAGATAATATCTATTCAAAAAAAATTGTAACCATTGATAGCGTGCACACACTACAAACGTAATTACTTAAAATTGAGATATTTAGAGAGAACAACCCTCCATTTTACCATTTATATCACTTAATAAATACTATAAATCTGTTGTTTTTTAATACAATCTCATATATGTATAGATTTTCAATTTAGATTTTAGTATGCTTTAAATGTTATAAGTGTAAATTTATCTTTATTTGTGATTACAAGAGATAGTATTTATTCTAAAGATCTTTAACCATTTCTCAAGTATTCTGTAGCTGTTGGTACTCGAACCCTTTAGAGATAACAACCATTTGATTAGTAATTGAAGTTATATTTTATTTAAATTTATTTCGATTTAATTTCAATTATATTATAATAATCTTGATTTATAATAGTTTTTTAACATATTTATAATAGCTAATTCTAATAACAGTTATTCGATGTACAATAAACTACTTAGCTACTATCCTGTACACACCCGGATTTAGGGATACAACAAAAACTAGGCTACTTTCTCCACATAAGGACTCAATTTCAACAAATCATACCCAAAGGGAAAAAGAAACATTCTTTCAAGTACAACACATACTCCCCCCAAAAAATAAAAATCATGTGGCAACCTCGTCTACTTCAGAATTGAAAACAAAGCTCGGAAACGTTGTTGTTATGTCCCTGCATTGATTCAAGCTCCGTCATGGATGAGCTTCTCGGCGACGAAAATTTAAGTAAAGATGAATTACGACATGGTAACACATACCTCAGGTATGGGAGGGTCATGATTTTCAACAATGATGGATTACGAGAGACGAAGTTTTGCCATTCTGATATATCTATCTTCCCGTCCTGATTAATGTCGGCATCCAAGAATGTCTGTTTGTAAATCCCACCAAAGAGTTAAAGATTCAACCATTAACAGAGTGCTGAAATATTCCAGTTCACCGAAAAGAGGAGTGATGTTCTCATTTCACATATATATTGTCGGGTCGATAACATGATAATTTGATGCAACCGGGAATATATCGTAATAACCATACTGCAAGAGGCTCTCACCTTATCGAGTATTGCCTCAATGGTGTCATCAGCCAACTTCATTTCGGATTCACACAAAAGTGCAATCAGCATTTGCTTGACCTGCGAAAATCACGTAAGGCATGCTTGTATAAAAGATGCAACTGAACCTAAACATAGATATTGATGATCTGCGTGAATCTTCGAAATCGGTTCCACTCAAAGTAAAGCGACTGAATTGAAAAGTAAACCCAACATACCTCATGACGCTCGATAAAACCAGTTCCATCCATGTCATAAAGTTTAAATGTAACTGCAATGTAAAACCATGAGTTAAAAGTGCGATGGAAGATTAAACAAATTGTGCAATTCAAGATTAGTATATCAACTTACAATTTATTTTATCCTCTTGTGAGGCATTTGGATGGAAGACATTCAGTGCTCGAACAAAGTCACCAAAATCAATGATTCCCTTCTTCTTGGCATCGAATAAATCGAAAATCTGCATTTTATAAGAAGGTTGGATAAATATAGAAGAGCATGCACATCAAATAAAATTTAGATAACGAAAATGAACCTGGAAAATTTATGTGCTATCTAATATTTCATAACAATATAAAGGAAGAAGAAGAGAAAATACTTTACCAGACTTGCAAAAATGTTTTCCTTCTTCCTATTCTTAAACAGCGCTAACTGAAATTCTTCCTGCGTAATGCGCATACAACAGATAAGCTGGAAGAGCATTAACTCGCGCACACAAATTTCCAAATTTGTAGAAACGGAATAATGGAACTGAAAAGGAGATGTAAAAGGCAAAGTCCAGAAAACCATGCAAAACAACTCAAAACCACACATAGTGTCATAGTCTATAGTATACCAACTTGCAAGGTATTTTCCTATGTCTATAACAACATACATTTTGTTCGCTTTGGTCTATCGGACCTCATGATTTTGTCCACAAAAAGCGCCTCACAGGCAAAGTCCAGAGAATCATGCAAAACAACTCAAAACCACACATATTGTCAGTCTATACCAACTTGCAAGGCATTGTCCTATGTCTATGCCAACATACATTTTGTTCGATTCGGTCTATCAGACCTCAAGATTTTGTCCACAAAAAGTGCCGCACAAGTTTAAAGCGGTGCGTACACTAATCTTCCTAAGATCAACTCACCTGGCATCACATGTAACAATCCTTATTCAAAACCACATAAAGAAAAAAGTAAAAGATGCATGGTATTACAGAGAATGAAGAACTGTACCTTGCTAATCAATCCATCATCAACCACGGAGCTGCTGATGCTCTTGAATAGCTCAAAGAGTGCTTCAACTTCACTAACACTAACTGCAGATACAAAGGGAAAAGAACCAAGTAGTCAAGTTCGAACAATTTTTCAATACCCCATAGAACCAAGCAAAGAAATAAAGTTGTAATAATTTGCAAACTTACAAGCAGTTTGTGAAGCAAGAGTAACAGGGTCTTCATGCCCAGGGTGTTGCCTAGTTACCTTAGAGTGAAAGCAACCCATTTACTAGGAAAAATCCTTTTTTTTTTCCCTTTAAAAAGAAGAAACAAATTGAAAAAGAGAGAGAAAAGGAAGTTGCTAGGCTTCACTATGTTCTCTCTGCAACCAACATTTTAAACCTGCATATTCATTCACAACATTTATTAGAAATAGAATAATTAGCTTTAAAATAAAAAGAAAGATTAGAAAGAAATAAGGAAAAAGAATTCCATCATGCAAATGCTTATAATTGAAAAGGAAATAAATTCAAAAAAAAAAAAAGAATTCGATTCAATCGATCAAAATTAAAAACCTTATCCACTTCTCTAAATTTTCTTTTTAATAAATCTCTGCAGACTGTCCTGTCCACCACACATATATCATTAAAAATAATTTATTAGCAAAAAAAAAAAAAACTCAAGCTTTGAATTTTTTCTTTAAAAAAATTAACGACAACAAATATAAAAAGAACCCAAGCTGTAGAAAAGGAAAAATCTTTGAAAAAGAAAAAAAGGCAGTAAATTGAGAAACTTACCGGCCGGAAAATCAAAACCCTTCGATTAAAAGAACCAACAGGAAAATAGACAGGTGGAAGTTCCAATTTGTAACGCTTACAAGAGAATGGGATTATATAGGAACCAATAAGGGTTTGTGAAGAAACGAATTATTGAGGGCATAATCCGAGGGTTGAGATCAGATCAGGAGAGGGAAAAGCCTAATTTTACGTTGCTTTTACTGTTGGTTTTTTTTCCTGTTAACATAATAAAAATAATGAAGTTTCAGTTTCTGGTATTGGTTTTGATTTTGTCGGAAACAAAAAGAAAAGCTCTGGTGTGTTTGGACATTGGAGTTGGAGACACAGTAGCAGAGGGCAACAACAAATGGGATCCGGACGCGCATTTGATGCGAGTGGTTGAACTCATTCATTTCGAATATTCCATATACTCTGAATTAAGGGTAGTGTTCGTACGTCAGATTAATTTAAGGTTTGAATATTCCAAAGTTTATAATTTATTCATCACTCTAAATTAACTTAATTCCTTTATAATTCTAATGGATCGAGTTAAACCTCAAATATTAATTTAATAATTTGAAAAAATTAACACCAAAACAATATTTTTCAATCATCGAAAATAAAAAGAAAAATGCTAAACCATGACACCTACTTCTCTACCAACGCCAGGACACATTGCCCGAGCTTCCCCGAAATTGGTCGCACTAACTCCGCTCTAACCAAGAGAGTCGAGACATGATTAACAGCAGAAACTTACCTATTGTCAACACTTCCGGTATCTAGGCTTACCTAGGTCATGGCCCACCCTATGTCCAAAAAGGGTAAATTAATTATTTAATCACCTACTTATTATATAATTCTATTTTAGTTATCTAACTATTATTTATTTCAAATAACACCTAATGTTATGTTTTGGTCACTTGTCTTTAAAAATTTAATGATGATATTAACGTGTCATCATATGATAACGTCATGCCAAAATTGAAAAATAATTTTTTTAAAAAATAATTTAAAAAATTAATGGTGACATTGGTGTCCCATTATGTATTATTTTGAAAAAAATATTAGTTGATCCAATTAATATTTTTTTAGATTTAATCCAATTAATATTTAAAAAAAATATTATGTTAAAAGATTATATTGATCCAATTAATATTTTTTTAGATTTAATCCATATATATATATATATATTTAAATTAAAAATTTACAAAAATTATGTTAAATAATTTGTTATTATATTGATAATGGTTCAACCTATAAATTTTTTCTGAATTCGTCATTGTCCAACACTTAGCGTTGAAAGGGAGACACCTTCTAAGACCATTATTTTCCGCTAAAATATAAGTGTTGAGTCAAACTCTCCCAAAAATGGAAAGTGAGTAACCTCCACCCAAAAACGACGCAAACCATTTGTTCCCAATTAGAAAACATCAAATTAAATCAAGAAAGAATTATTATATCTCAATCATAAATCTCAGATCAAATTACTTTAATGATTTTCTTTCAAACAAGAGAGACAATTATTATGTCTCATAAAAGACTCCGAAAACCTCCGAACCTCTGACTTGCCTACATTCACTGACCTAAACTTTATGCATAGACAAGACCTTTGACAGATAAATCCACTAATAGACTCACATGATGCGCCAAAACAAAATCAAGTCTGAGTACCAAATCCACCTAGCCTGTCAACCTACAAATAACTATGATGATCTTATGAACGCCACACACTAAAAGTCAATGTAAAGGCCCCAATTAAGACTCGAAAATGTGATGGACTGGCTCTCTTTCCTCCCTTTTATGACAATTTTTTCTCCTTTCTTTTAGTACCAATCAACGATTTTTCTCTCACCAATCACGTCTCTATGTTTAAATTAGAAGGATGAACCGATCACAACCATCAACAATTTTTAAGAAAATATATCTCAATTTAATTTGTTTCATTCATTTACAAGTACGTCATTTTCGTAATAATCTCCAACAAATCATATGATGCTGCGCGTTACTTTGTTAGCATGATCCTTAAATTTTCCCATGTTGTCTTCTAGGTTTTAACTTTTCGTGAAATGTAACATAGAAGGAATCGAAGTCCCATAGGAAAAATAAAAGTTTTGTTCCAAACTGATGCCTTTTCCCTACTAAGAAAGAAACCGACAACAACAATAACTACATATATTTATATATTATTTTGACATATTTCTTTGTTAACTTTATTAACTAATACGTCGAAAAAGGAAAACTTCATTAATTAGTACGAGCTTTTAAGACAACTTATGAATTTTGTCCCTTCATGTTTATGTTATCGCACTGAAGGGGCCGAAGAAAAAGCAATTACTTTGCTTGCTCGAGAAAATGTCAACTTGAGAGAAAATGTCTACTTCATGTCCCAAATATATATTTAAACCTTTTAAAATGTGCACGGATCAAACAATTTTATTGATAAAGAATCGTTGTTCTTTCTTGAAGTCCCGAGTTCGAACATCATGAACATTAAGAATGTAATGTTCAATGTCAAATGGTCGAATAGATATTGCCTTCAAACACTTTGAATTCTTTCTTCAAGTGAACTTTTCCTTGAAACATCCTTCCAACACACTTAATAAGTTTTAACTTTGTTTTTAAATTTTGCATTATTAAGCAAAGCAAACCATTATCAAGCAAGAGTTAAGAAACGGTTACCAATAACATATGAATGTTTAAGAATTTTTTAGTTATTATGAGCAGTTATTTTCTATTATTTGTATATAAATTGAAGAGTTAATTGAATCAATATCCCTTAACTATGATTCTCATTTTGAATTCATCCCTAAACTTTTAAACATTTTAATTTCATCCTTAAACTATTAATACTTGTCAATTACTTAACGGACTTGTCAATCACATACATCCGTTAACAAGACCATTAAAAAACCGTTAAATTCCATGTAAACATTATGTGTATTACATAATTAAATGACATGATATTAATTATAATTAATATAGAAAATAAAAATAATAATGAGCATTTTTTTGCAAAATAATAATTAACTTTAAAACCTAGAAAAGTTTACGAAAAAATTGAATCACGACTTTATGATAGTCTCGGAAACCCCAATCTCGATTAAAAAACCTATGAATATGTATAATGATTTGCTCTAAGTGGTTAAAGTATATCCAAACAAGTTCATAGACCTCAAGATCAATTGCATGGTCATTCAATAACATGTTTTTGCACGTTTATATACATTTTCTACATTATCTTTTAGAGAAAATAATTTCAGTGACCGAAAATGCCTTATAATATACGATTTTAACCAAATTTTTTTGGATTTACAAAAATAACCAACAAATTCGCAACGTAAACTCCAATTTCGCAACACAGTTTCCAAATTCACAACTTAGTTTCGGAAATCGCAACGCGAATTTCTTTTACACAACGCGATTTTCCAAATTCGCAACGCGATTTTCAGATTTGCAACACAGAAGTCAAATTCGCAAAGCGCGTCTATTTTCGCAACATGAATTTTATTTTTGAATTCAAAACACGAATATTAATTTCACAACACAAATGTAAACAATATATCCCGTAAATCGCAACTTATAACCTAAAACCCTAAATCGTAACTCATAATCTAAAACCCTAAATCACAACTCAGTCTCGTCTCATCTCTCACTCTCTATGGCGACATCCGTCCTCATCTCCGGTGACATCCGTCCCCATATCCGGCGACCCCCCTCCATCTCCATCTCTCAGAGCCACCCTCTCGCAACCATTCACTGCCACAAATGGAAAATCAACCACCGAGGGTTAGTAGTTTTTTTAATTATTTTTATTTTGAAATTTTGGTATTATTATTAGATTTTTCATATTTAAATTGATGATAAATTTACTCGTAATTTCAATATATAGATTAACCATTTCACTTAGATTGCTTAGTAAATTCATTCGGTTGCTGCCAATACTGCTAAACTGTCTAGTCCTTAACCCTGTGAAATTAATATTTGTCTTTTGGTTGAAGTAATGCAATTCATTCAAGTTTCAATTTGCAGAAGAAGAGTAGTTTTTGAAACTTAAATTCGCAACACGAAAATCGCAACAAGAAAATCACAACACGAAAATCGCAACGCGATTTTAGTTTTCACGTTGCGAATTTCATTTTCGCGTTGCGATTTTCGTGTTGCAAATTTCATTTTCGTGTTGTGAATTTAAGTTTCAAAAACTACTATTCTTCTGCAAATTGAAACTTGAATGAATTGCATTACTTCAACCAAAAGATAAAGACAAATATTAACTTCACAGTGTTGCAAATTTAAGTTTCAAGAATAAACTACTACTCTTCTAGAATGTTGTCCTTGAACTTGCACTAAACCTATATGTTGTCCTTTTAAATGTTTATACTTACTTCTGGAATGTTATCTGATGCATTTTGTGAACTATGATAGAATAATGACTTGGGTGAATACATGGCTAGTTTGAAACATATTTGGCTATATTTTCCCTGTTTAATATCATGTATGTTTATTGTGTATAATTTGTAGTTTTTTTGGTATATTATTAGTATATCTAACTTGGTATGTTTATTGTTTTTGTTAGGATTTTTTTTCAGCTTCAT